GACCAGTACCAGGGCACCGTGTGGTTCTCCCGCTTCAAGGGCCGCGAGGCCGCCCACTTCATGAACCTGCTGCGCTACGACGCCATGGTACCGCGGGGCTTCCCCGGGCGCGCGCGGGGGGAGGTTGCTTTGCCTCGGTTCGGCTTTTTATTCTCACGATGGTGTCCCGTCCCCCCGCAGCTGGGTGATGCAGGGACCTGTACGCGAGAGGACTAGGGGCTGGTGCTGCAGCTCTGCGCCCGCAGCGCGGGGAGCCGGACGGCGCCTCTGAAGGGAGCGCTCCGAGCGCTGCCCGGGCTGCCTCTGCCCTCGCTCTGCTGCGCTGCTGAGTGCGGAGGGGCAGGGGGAGGATCGGGGCTCAGCGGGCTTAGAGCTCCTGCCTCTGCTCTCCAGGGGAACAAGGACAGGCTCAAGTAATATATATGTTAAAAAACCGCAGTGCTTATTCTGCTTGTATGCAGCACCAGGGAAGGGATTAAAGGTGTGTTTGAGACTGGCTGCGTAGCTACTCTTCAGTTGACAGCCTGAGTGGCACAGCTGACAGCTCGTTCTGATCATCTCACGTCCTCGCTCTTCATCTGTCTGTTTTGCTCTAGAAAAGGCTGCGGTTTCCTTTTCCAGCTAAAAATGCCTTCCCTGGTTCTCCCCCCATCCCAAAACCGCTTCGGGAGGGAAGGTGCCGGTTGCCCCGCGGCATCTTCCTAGGCTGAGCGCTCTGCGCGGCAGCCCCGTGGCAGATGCTGCTCGCTGTTTGCAAGCCCCAAAGGACAGCTTCCTAACCCCAACCTTCACGAGGATCTTCCTCGTGGTGACGATGGGCAGCAGGGCGTGCGGCCAGGGCTTGTCCTTACGGAGTGCTGGGGGCAGGACGGCTCCCCAGCGCAGATACAGCCCAAGGGGAATTTTTCCTGCCTGCCTTCCCCAAGCTTGCTGCTGGCTGCCCGCTCTCATCCTCCCCTTTGCCCATTTGACGGGTCCCTGAGCAAGCCAGGAGCTCCATACACTTTGTGATCATATCGCAAGAAAAAACTCTTCTAAACAAAATTAACAGGGTCAAACTGGTGGAGGGAGGTAAGTGCCGTACCGGAGAAGGGCGAGCTAGTGTTTCGTTAAGCAGATTTGGGAAGCCTCACGCATAGCAGAAAGGGGTGAGGATTGCTGAGCTGGTTAGAAGTGGGTGATAGCGTAGTATTGCAAACAACATGAAGACAGGAAAAGCTGTGAAAGCCATAAGGCTGTTGCAGGACAGGGGCAGGAGGGCCATGGGAGGATTTAGAGCAGCCTGGCAGTGTTATTGGGTACTTATTCCACAAGTGGGACAAATTTCCCTTTCAGGTTTGTCCTTGTCTCATTTGTGCCCTTCATCATCTCATACCTTATATATGGCAAGGTATCAGCCTCCAAATCTTCTTGCCAGCACCATTGCTTTTGAGTGTGATTAGCACCAAATTCCACGTTAAGTGCCACAAAAGCAGTAATTGGAGTGATGTCAGAAGCTCTATTTTTTACTGCTAAGTTGCATCTTTGTGTTAAATTGTATCCTTTTTTAAAATACATATATTTCAGCCTTGTATCTTATGAGGATTCATGTGGTCACATGCCACGTGACTGTGTGTTTCTTTTTATTCCTCCTTGTGAAGTTCACTAATACTAGCCAATAGGTACAAATTTGCTGAAGGGGTATATGCAAAGTCCCTAAAATCTTTATGCGTCGGGGTGGTTTGGCAGGTCCACACCATCGTCCTCAGAGAAAGAGCTGTATCAAAATATGACTGTATTTTTAGGCACCAGTGATTTCTCATGCTTTAGAGACTTTATAACCACTTGTACCATGGGAAAAGTTTTGTTAAAATTTGTCTCTTAATGGACATGAAATGATCCAAACACAAGCGACAAAGCCAAGAGAAACAAAGTTTCTCACGTGGGTTTATTTTATATTTTTTATCGCAACCAGCTAATGGCACTTAATTTAAATTCTTACTTTATTTGCAACCACTTATTTCGGACTTTAATTGCATACTTAGCATAACAGAAGGCATCAGCCAAAGGGGACGACTTGTTATGACTTTGCGAAGCTCTCTCCATCTCCGGCTGTCTCTTTGGGACATCACTTGATGTCAAAATGAGCTTCCTTAGAGCTTGATTCCTTTTCTGCTCTTTCTTTTACAGTAGATTAGACTGCAGTTAGAATACAGTGAAAATCGGAATAGAGTTAGATTGCATCCTGTCATGCAAAATCAGGATTTTCTTAAAGGCAGCCATGACTTTCTTTGTGAAGAGTGCTGCAGCACCATGAGAACACTTGGGTTCCTTCACTCGCGCTTTCCATGCGGTCCCAGCAGTGCCAGTGGGAGCACCTGGTTGCAGACAAAGCTGCTGCTCCAGATCTTTGCGCTGGGCTGTGCTGGAAGCCGGGGTCACTGTCCCCCACCTGTAAGAAAGATGCTGCCAATCCGGTGATCAAACACATCACGTCCCTCTGCTTATAGGAGCTCTTCCGTCTTTCCTGTCTCGGAACATGATCAGAACTGATATTGCCTGTTTGGGGAATAAAAATTGGAATAAAGACATAGGGACTGTTCAGCTAAATAAAGCAGAGAGGTATGTGGGTCTTTTTAGACCATGGCTACAGCTTTCTCCTCTTGATGCTGAGGGTGAAATTGTAGGTGCACTCCTGCCTGGCAGAGCTGGCCCATTGACTTTAGGATCCTTTTCACGCACAGTTCCAGGCACCTGCAGACTTGTTACATTATGTTCCAGGTTACACCACTAGGCTGTTTCCAAAAATACATTTTTCTTTCTCTTTCCAACACTTAAAGGCATTACAGGGTTCTTCTATACTTTAAACTCCAGTATAGCGGTCCTCTATGGGGATTTCACTGATAATTGCCAAATTGGGGAGCATGGGGTAAATCAGGCTGAGCATGGCAAAGGGTGCGGAGAAGAAAACTAAATCATCCTTTTTCAAGGATGCCTTTTTGTTGTTTTCCAACCCAGGACAACTAAATATTCTCCTCTCGTTAGTATTGCCTTGCTAATGCTAAGTCCCGCTCTCTAAATAATATACAAATACAAATACTTGTTTAGGTAAGTTTTCAGCTTCGATTTTTCACATCTCTATTGGTATGTGAGAGAGTATGAAGAGCAAATAGTTAAGCCTCGAAACAAAACAAGACAAACAAACGACGAATAATTCTGTGCTTGTGTGACACAGGAATGCTCTGTCTTAGCAAGGTAGGATGGTCCTGCCTAGAGCACGGACCTTCTGTTCTCAAGCCTGTCTTTTATGTCGTGTATGAGAGTGTTTATACTCATTATTTGAGGTAAGGTCTTATGGTTTCCTCTTGTTTTTCGCAGGCTTTGGGGAACCATGAGTTTGATGAAGGTGTGAGTGGATTGTTGGATCCTCTGCTTAAAAATGTTAATTTTACCATCCTGAGTGCAAACATTAAGGCAAAAACTCCATTAGGAAATGAAATGATGAAGTATGTTCATCCTTTTAAAATAGTACATTTTGACTCGGAACCGGTAGGAATTGTTGGCTATACTACAAAGGAAACTTCTTTTCTGTCAAATCCAGGTATGCTTTTTAATATATAAGTTTATTACATCCTTTATTACTAATTTGTTATTATCCTACCTGTTTGAATCCAAAGATGATGAATGCTTTTAGTTGGGAAGTTTATAATGCAGATTTATTCAGCCTGATTTTGAACTAGTGAATGCCCTGTTACATTAAAGACCTTTTCATACTAAGTAATTCAGATCACTGAATTATGTAGGGTCTGTGAAGTCTGTGGAGAGTGGGAAGCTTTTCTTTTTGCTTTACTTTTTTACTGAAATTCATATTCTTTTATATTTTATTTATCCATTTGAACGAGTTAGGTTGAAATGCAGCTTGTCTCTAGAGTGAAATGTGACTAAGATATTGCCAAGTGCATTGAAAACTTGCTCTTGGATATCTTTTAGTAAAAACAAGGAGAGCTTCATGTGCACTTTTGAAACAGAGGTTGCCCAAGATGTTTTTGGTTTCTCAAACATTTCCAGAAATTTGACTGCAGAAGGAACACCCATTCTGCTTCTACCACAATTGCTTCATTCATGAATAAAATTAGAACTGATGAACTTCTCCGTGGCTGACTATTTAAGTTATTCCAACTTTTTTTTTAATTGAACCGTCTACTAGAATGAGAAGCACATTGTGAGTCACTATGTGCTCAGCATTCACTCTTCCTCTGACTTGATGCGACTCTTTCCTGGATTTTGCAGGAGATCCCCAAAAGGACCTGGGAAGCCCTAAGCATTATTATTTTTTTTAATTTTCCACACTGAAAAAGGACTTCACATTATTAATTTTTTGTCTATTGGTCAGTAAAAAGGAAGTAATGTATAGATTGCCTGAGAAAATATTTTTTTAAGAAACATAATACAAAACTTCCTTCTGTGACATAATTTAGACATACTACATGGACATGAAACCTGGAAGTGGGCATCTGAGGTTAGAATAAACTTTTGTATCTGACTCCTACTCTATAGTGCTGTGTTTTGGGAGTCTGATTTCTTTTTCCTCAATGAATAAGAAAAAGAAAATTGATGTATCTTTTGTGTAGGCAGCAGGGCAATAGATTGTTACCTGTGCTTGAGGCCGTGCAGGCAGATACCATGCAACGCCAAGCTGAGTTTGAAAGGTGGGCACAGAGCCACTATTGTTCCTCACTAAGTAGAAATAAAAGTTGTTCTTCCAAAATGTGCTGTTGCAGTAAGGTCATCAAATTAACTTTCTTGCAAATAAGGAAGCCTAAAAGTGTTGGAATGGTCCTCTGAGGCATTTAAATGCAAAGCATTTCTAGGAACAGCTAAGCATTATGCTCAGTGTCTCACTATGCAGAGAAAGAGAAAGCTGCCAGAGCCCTGGATGCAGCAAAGAGGTCCTAGGCTAAAAATACCCCAGGATGTAACTGAGCATTTGCAGAAGCAACAGGTGTAAACATGTAGGGCAAGTTCTATCAGCTGCCATTTCTAGGGGTAAGAATTTCTATAACTTTCCACTTCAGCTCAGTGTGCAGAGCATTTGGAAGTTTTGAAAATATGAATTCAGAACATAGTCATTTAACTTGGTGAAAATATATCACTGGTGACCTCGCAGTCTTTCAGAATGGTAAAATTAACCCCCAACTCAATTCCCTAATTCAGTGAATAAGACGTAAGGTGAAATTCACTTCAGCACCTTGCTATCCCCACAGACCTCTTCGAAGTTGTGTTTTTTTTGTTTTGCTTTGTTTTACTTTGTTTTTCTCCCTGGACTATTCAGTAACTACTCTGGCATGCCATACCCCTTAGGGACATTTTACAGGCTTGGACAGAAAGCTGAAAATGCTGGGACAGGTGAATTCCTACACCAGTGGTTTTCACAGAAGAAATCAACTTGCATAAAAGTTCTATCATTAGGTATTAATAGCTTCAACACAGTTATGAAATTATAGCTTGTACATTTTATAGTCTGCTTAAAACAGCTCTCAAAAAAATGGAACAAATCATAAAAACTCCTTAAAACTCAGTGGTTTCATTGGTAAGGAACAATAAATCCCTGCAGCTGGGCTGTTAGTGCTACCCTTGGGAAACAGCAGAGATGAGGGGCACCATTATCACAGTGACAGATTGCAGATAATGGGCAGTTTTTCTGAAGGACTTTGTATCCTTGTATGCCACCACTTCAGTTGAATGCAGAGTTATTTTTTTCCACATTTCCTGCTAGAGTTGTTCATACCTTGATATACGGCAGAGTTGTCCGTGCACCTACTTGGCATAGACAGCCCCAAGACCATCTCTCTCACATTTGAGGGGTAGTGACCGATTTCCTTTAGTTCTGAATTCATGTTCTAAGCCTCACAAAGCAGTTCATCTCTGTCCTGAGAGATACTACTGTGAGGGAAACCCAAACTGCTTGCTGTGCAACCCTACAGGCAGCAAAATGTTTACTAAAAACAATTTGTCCAACTTTATGCAATGAAATTTTAAATCCCACTTGTTTTGGTTAGCTTGCATAATGTTTTTAATATGCAGCCAGTTCTTTGTTTCTTGTTCAATTACAGCACATCTTGTATTCTACTTTGAGGTAGCTGAAGCGCTTTCCCAAACTAAAAAGAAAAGACGATGAAGCATCAGTTTAATACATTGAAAGAGGAGTTCCAGAGCAGTGGATAACATTTATATAGGAACTCTTTAAATTCAATGTCTTTGAAAAATGGGCACCCGAGTACTAAGCCATATGCAGCAATGTTTTTGTTACGTTTCTCAGACAGATGTGAATTTTGGAATTGCTCTTTCAGTCTCCCGCTCTGTAAGTTTGCCGCAAAGCTTGGCAAAGGGCTGCCCGTTTCAAAGCGGGTCCTGAGGCTGTGTGACGCGGCACCGAGAGGGCGAGGAGGAGAGATGAGAGCGCCAAGGCTGGAATCTCTCCTCGAGGGCGAGGTGGGTGGCGGGTTCAGCGCACGCTTGTTCCGACACGTCTGGTACAGAGAGTCCCTGTGGCAGGAGTGGAGCTGCCCCGGGTGCGGTGGCCGCAGGTTTATGTAACCCTCCGTTATCTCCCCGTGTTTCAGTGAAGGAGTTTCCTCCTCCTTTCCTGAGACACTTGTGCATTGGGTTAGGAATTGGCTTGGCTCCTCTCTATGTTATAAATTAATGTAAATCTTTTGACCGAAAGGCACATTAGAAAACTGACACATTGAAAACTTTCACATTGTGAAAGGCACATTGCAAAACTCTGCAGGAAAGAGAAGAAGTAGGTAGAAGGGAAATTGGTAGAAAGGTTATTTGGAGGTTTTAAATGGAAAATATAGGATTACAGTTTGACCTGTTCTTTAACTCCACATTAAATCTTTGTCAAAAAAAACCCGCCTCTTGCATAGCAAGGCCTTTTGTGCCTTTTGTGCCTTGCCTTCATGTGAACATGAAGGTTCTGTGACCAGGATGAAGGTATTTGTTTATCCTGTGTTCTTGTAACTCTTTGTCATGTTAAAATAATTTCAGCAGGCACATAAACATTTCAGATGATTGCGAGTTTCCCAACATTGTGTTCGGGAAGGGTTTCTCCTTTCCAGACTTCCCGTTCTTTATGTGCTCGTTTTGGGGCAATATCTCAATTGCCCACTGTGCTGTCACTTGGCATTACTGATAGTGGTTCAGATTAGGTGAGATAATCTTGCATTAAAAGGCAATTCAGACTTTAGTGCAGGACTTTGAAGAAGCTGCTGTTTAAAGCCTCAGAAGACAAAACCCAAGTGGGAGGAGAAAATGAGATATCTCAAAGAAACAAAAACGGAGAAAGAAAAAAACCCCAAATGTTTATACCCAAACACTCACTGACATTTTATTTTCCTCTCTAGCTGAAGAATATCGGGGAAAAAAAAAGTGATCGTACAGTTGATATCGTTCCATTTTTTGTTTCCACAGAATTTGTTGAGTATAGAGAAGTATATACAGTTCAGTGCCAAAATGTTTAGTTTTTTTCAGTCTAAACACGTAAGTACTCCTGAAAGACAGGAAAATATCACATCGGGTCAGTTTGAACTGCTTCCCACTAAGGACATTTGAAAATCAGTGACATTCAAAATTCCATTAGCTATACAAGATAATACCTGATATCATCTAGTATTTGTTGGAAAAACTAGTAATTAAGTAATTTAACTTAAAACAGTAATTAAGATACAGAATAAGTAAATAAAGTCTTACGCTGTTTTTGTTTGTTTTCTAGGGCATGATGTAATCTTTGAAGATGAAGTTGAAGCAGTGCAACTTCAAGTGAATAAACTTACTGCTATGGGAATTAACAAAATAATTGCACTAGGGCATTCCGGTTTTGCTGTGGACAAAACCATCGCTCAGAAAGTGAAAGGAGTGGACGTTGTAATCGGAGGACACACAAACACGTTTCTCTATACAGGTATTTTACTTCTTACTGAAATGCTGCTGCTAAAGGAAAGCTGGAACTGAAAGTTTCTTTTTCAACTTGGAGGACTTTCACAAATACAGTTTACTCATGCTTAAGCCAGGCCGGATTCATAATTGGTACCTATTGGTAACTTCAGTGGAATACACTGACTTAAATCGTTTTGTGAGCAACAGTTGCCCTAACTCACTGAAATGTTCCCTAGTGCTGTAGATGTTCAGGCACAAAGATAACTTTAGCAGTAATTTGTCAGTATTATTATGGTTCATTTTTCAAGCTTACAGATTTACCAGAGTAAAGAAAATGTTTACCCTCATTTTCTCTCTATTTTCTAGCTCCTCTTATTCTCTGCTTTTATTCTTCTTTCCTTTAGAGAGACACTACTCTCACCTAATCCTGTTGCAGCATCAAGAGATGGATGTTATGCAATATTACAAACATTTCCTTTCTTCGGCAGCACTGCTATTTTAGGCAGAGCCTGTCATCAGCGCTCACTCGTTCTGCAGGGCTGCTGCCTTCCCTTGTGCCAGCGTGTAAGGACACAAGTAAGGGAAAAGCATTTGTTTGCTTTTGCCACGTTAAATTTAGCAGAAACTCCGTTAGCTGATCCAAATATAACAGGAGCTTTCTGTAATTTTCAGCAAATTTACACTCACAGCTGCACCACCAGGTAGCCTAGGAATTTAAAAGGTTTTTGTCCGTTTCGTCCTCTCCTCTTCTTGCTGCTTCCTCACTTTTCCATGTTTTTGTCTCATGTTTACTATTGAACTTATCTCCTCCAGGCTCTCACCTTTTCCTATCCTGCTTGTTACAGAGAAATAATCACACCCTACAAGCTGTGTGTTGAACAGTTAGAATATCTCATGGATCTGTCCTTAAGGAAGAGCTTTGAATCATAGAATCATTATGGTTGGAAAAGACCTTCAAGATCATCAAGATTTAGGACTTACTTAACCTACAAGTTAGTGAGTGCAGATCATTCAGCACTGGGGTGGACAGATGGGAACACACCAATAGGTTGACAGCTGAGTAGTTTTTACACTGGGAAAGAAAGATCACTAGAAGAAAATCCCTGAGGCAGATGCACCGAATATTTGTATCCACTGCTTTAGATAAGAATACTCTTTGACCAAATGTGGTCTGAGTCTATAAAGTTTTATGGCAAATATCAGGAAGCACTTGTTGATCCCTCCAGAAGCACATCTGTGAATTCCATCCTGAGTCAGAAGAAAGCTCTAGGTCAAACGGCACAAAGTACCCACATGTGTTAGAAGTTAGGGGTGGGGTTGAGCTGTGGAGCACCATCTTATTTGGAGCACCTGAGTGTATGGGCCTGTGTGCTTTGGGCTTTTAAACCCTTGGGAGAACAATTGAGCTCAGTCTAAGTGGATGTGTCCTGTGTGGTCAGCTCTCCCACCATCTGCTGGGGGAGATGTAGTGTAGTGCCCATGGGTACTTCTATGGAGCTGTCTTAATATCAAGGCCTTGGGCTGGAACTAGTCCAGTCATCTCCTGAGATACACTGGAGAATGGCAGGTATCTACAGATTGTGGCAGATGGTGACTTGGCTGTGTACAAGTGGGTTTGTAACTTGATTCTGTTGGTATGGACAGTTTTAGGTTAAATTACTCTATTTTTCTGTATTTCATCAGTAAGGATGTTCTGGGTATGTAATGTGCTAGCTAGAACAGAATGAGAAACTAGGGCAGTGTTACTCTTTCTTTAGTTACCCAATCTTAATTTACATGGTTGTGATGAACAGGATCTTGCACTTTAATTGTGTGTTTGAATTCTACAATCTTCTAGGGATAGGATGCACTGAAAAAACTTCTTTCAGAGGGACCATATCTATCTTACGGAATAATGTTGTAGTGATAATTTATCCTGGGAAAAAAATCCATTATCAGGACATTATCTCTTTAGAAAACAGGAAATTAGTCATGTACTGTCTGAGCACTTGGCCATGTGCTGATAATATAAACTGAAAGACAGAAAACATGACTTTCTCCCATTAATGTCCTGTGCAGTCAAGGACTACACTAGTGTGAGCGATCAAAATCAATTCCTTCTGCAGTCTCAAAAACTTCAAAGCCATTTTTGCGTTTACCAGCCTGAAGAGTCCTCATCAGCTGCAGGGTTTCCTCAGATCTTCCCCAGTGAGCGTCAGGCAGCGAGGGGCCTTCGCACTACCAAGAAACCAGCTCTGCCCGTGAGGCTGGGGGTGGGAAACGAGTCCTCTGGTGAGTTTGGTTCAGCTTGGAATTTGTTACCAACATCTTTGCTGGCGCAGAAGAGGGTTAGAGATTACTACAGATCACGCTGGAGTTCTAGGAGAACATTTATCATGGCTAATATCCCTGGATTAAATGTTCTATAAACAAGGAAAGCAGTTGTTCTGTGAGCAGTGGCGCTGAAGAAACCTGCTTTCCTTTGGTTTCCTTTCCCACACTTTTCCGTAGGGTGTTGGTGTCTTGGTTTTGGGAGCAGAGGATGGCGCACGGATGGGAAGCGCTTCGGGGAGCGGACTGAACAGCGGCCCTCGGCGGGGCTCTGCAGGGGGACACGTTGTGGTGCGGCCCCAGTCTCTAGTTATGGGTGTCCCTTAGACCTGCCATTGAAAAGCAGAAAAGAAACAACTTCAATCCTCACCGACTGTGGTGTATAAGTGCCGGTGGAAACAGCAAGGCTGTTATTTATATCCGAGCTACGCATTAGCTGGGATAGACAGTGTCGTGGAGGAGCTGGAGAGCAGGCAGGCAGCTGGGGACGAGCCCCCTGGGCCCTGCTCCTCCCGGCAGCTTCCCAGATCCAGCAGGAGCTGAGCTGGCTGGGCTCCCTTTCCTCTGCACATCCCTTGCTTTCATAGATGTGTTTGCAACTCCTATACCTAATCAGTCTTCAAACTTTGCAGTTTCCTGAGTGCTTGGCATCCATGACTGCCTCAATCTAACACTAATGAAGTTTGTTTTTGCAGGGGGGTTTGCAGCCTGTCTGCATCTGTGGTGTGAAATGGCATCACTTGCAAATGTTTTGCACTAAGATGGGTGTAGTAAACACTGAGTTGGGTGTACATGCAGATTACAGAATTTGCTTGTAGGGATTCCTATTATGTATCATTAATAAAAGTAGTTTAGAGTTTTCATATGAAGAAGTCCTGTGTGTGTTTTACCAACATCCTTGTTTCTCTGTCTGATAGAGAATACCACAGTGTGAAGGCCCAACAGTCAGCTTCAGAGGCTCATTGGTATGCACGGCTTGAAGTTTCAATTAGAATAACTAGAATGAGAAGCCACTTTGTTGCTCTTGTGATGTGATGGCAGGGAGAAGTTTCAAGCTCACAGCTTGAAAAACACCATGGGGGTTATTACAACTCAAGTCCCCAAAACAGCAACCTCTTATGCACTAACGTAAGGGGGCAATCAAATGAGCTTGTTGGCTACCGCGCTCGTTAGCGCATTGGTTTTGCCCCCGTCGATCTCTTTAAGGAGGAGCAGCGTTCTGGTGTCGTTCTGGTGTCGTTCTGCTGTTTCTCCTGACTGACGTGGTTGTCTCGCGCAGGCCGCCCGCCCTCCACCGAGCAGCCCGCCGGCCCCTACCCCTTCATGGTGCAGGCCGACGACGGCAGGAGGGTGCCCGTCGTGCAGGCCTACGCCTACGGGAAGTACCTCGGCTTCCTAAACCTCGCGTTTGACGAGAAGGGAGATGTCGTCGAAGCAGAGGGGAACCCCGTCCTGCTGGACAGCAGCGTGCCCGAAGGTGAGTGAGACGGAAATCTGGAGCGGCCCACAGGGCCCCGATGCACTGGGGCGTTTGGGTGTCGACTGTGCCGTGTTGCAGAAGGATTCAGCTTTCTTCTTGAGCTTGCACTTCTCTCTGCTTCAGGGTGCATTTCAGTTGTACCCATTTTCCTCTGTTTCTCTTTCTGAACAGTGAAACACAGAGTCCTTTGTGTCTGCACAACCTAAGTGTATATTTTTTTTTCCTATTTAAAATCACTGGTAGCTCAGGTAATACCTTTCTATTTAGCAAGGTTTATTTGAAGCAGACCTGTAATTTTGTTTTAAATCATTTTAAGGACTACCTTCCCCTGTTGTGCCAGAGGCTGCACTGCTCAGAACAGAGTTCAGGGCAACCGTGTTGGGAAACCTGGGGTGTCTCACAAATTCTGGAATACTCAGATTGTGCAAATGGCATGCACGTTTCTTGTTTTAACCTCTGGAACATTTAAGGATCTGGAAGTAGGAGAATGTTTCTGTTACTATGTATATTAAAAATTCTTGAATAGAAACTCCCATCTGTTAAGGGAAGTGCTAGAAACCCCATGAAACTTTTCGAACCTTGAAGAGCAGTTTTTCCCTGAGCTTTATATGCGCTCAGGTATCATTAGTACAACATGGGTACATCATGCTCATTTTACGTATCTCTAATTGGTAGATGAGCACGTTAAAGAAGAAGTGGAAAAATGGAGGAAAAACCTGGGAAATTATTCCGAAGAGATTGGAAAAACTAGTGTTTACCTGAACGGCACAAGCCAGGCCTGCCGCTTCCAGGAGTGCAACATGGGCAACCTGCTCTGCGATGCTGCGGTGAGAAGCTGCCGCCACGGGTGGCAGTTGTACCTGAGCACTACCCTAGAGCCACCACCCAAACTGCATCCCAGGCTCCGAACTGTCCGTGTGTTGGTGGGAAGGGAGACCATGATGGACTTTGTAGGATTTTATGGAGTGGTTTGTTCTTTGCGTGTATCATCCCACCGAGAGCTGCTGTTCGCTGCTGGGTCTGCAGTGTGCTGTGGCTGCAGGCCTGGCAGACCCTGGGCTGGTGGAACAGCCCATTTCTCAGGGAAGAGGAGAGTTCAGGTCCTTCCTGCCCGCTCTGCTGCCAGTGATCTGCTCACAGCACTAGCCCTGTGCTCAGTCATTGCTCCCTGGGCTCTGCTGTGACCTTCTGTAACTCATTAACGTAGAGGAAAAAATGCAGTTTTCTGTGGTTTACTGACGTGATTTGGCCCACAGAAGAATCTAAGCGGTGCCAGTTTAAGCAAAGGAGGGAGAAAGAGCCCACAGCAAAGAGCAAGACTCCTCCTGCCAACTTCAGAGCGCTGCCTGCAGCCCGGTCAGGGCCTGACCTACAGGCGACCATCTGTCCCATCCCGGGCCTGTCCCTGCCCCATGGAAATGCTCCGTGCACCCACTCTCCCAGCCCACACCGCTCCCT